CCCTACAATATGTACCAGTTCCGACTTACATACAAATTCAACTTAAGAACAAATCTACAGTCCCTATCTTGTACGTAACCCGGGGACTGCCTGTAAAGTGCTACCAGACCGTTTGCTGTTTTTTTTTAAAGTTATGATTGAAAGGCAAACAATGTGAATTGCACAAACCTAGTTGATGTTAATAGTGGAGGAGTCATTCAGAAAAATGTCAGTATGGATCAGTCTGAATGATCTGAAAAAAAAAACCTTGTATTATGGGTCTGACTTTTAGTAACTAACTTGTTAATTAACCTGGCTTCTACAGTGCTTCTATACCCACAATCAACTGTAGGTACAAACAGCATTTATGTGTCTGACTAGGTGATTTGCAGTTGTGAGGTTTGAATTCTGTTTGCATCTGGAATTTTTGCAGTTTGTCCTCAGCAATTAACTCAGTTTCAAATTGCCAGCTTTCTCCTTGCTTTGGAGGCTATGAAACTTTGAGCAAGCAACAGATTGGAATGGTGAAATTTTCCCTCGTGCAAGGCTATAGGCAGAATTTTAAGCCTAATGAGGACTTGACCCTGCAACATGCCAAGTTTTTTCAGCTCCAGCTAGGACGCAATGGTTTTGGGGATTTGGCTTTAATCCTTTAATGTGGGGGTTATGTAGTTACTAAGCCATCTACAACTTTGGGACTACTGTACTGGAATAAGACAGATTTATGCCACTTGTGGTGATCACTCTAATGCCAATGGAAGTAAGTAGAAAAGTAAAATTCTTTAGCACGTAGGAGCTACCCAGCAGCATCCATATAGTAATTTCTAACCCGAGGGTATGTCAAGTATCCCCAAAGGTTTCTACTGCTATATTTTATGCATAGGTCTCTTCCAGCCTAATTTTCTCAATTTTTGGTGCAAAACAAGGAAGATGAAAGAACATGAGATTCACCCTACATCATTTAATATAAAATACTATAATTGTATGCAATACAGTCAAAGGGTTTTGAGGGCTTAATATCAGAGAGACTTGTTTAAGAGGGAGGGTTGGCTTTTAGAGTTTTATTTGACCTTGTCATGAAAAGTTCTGTAGCACTAATTATTACTTTGTTCTGCTATTGCAACAACAGTGTGCATGTTATCTGGTGTATTTCTTAAAATCTCCATATTGTTATATCACAATTCTGTATTTTTATGTTAATTTTAGCCTATAGCAATAGAATAGGAATACATTTTTTTAAAAAAAAACTTGTTTCCAGGCTTGATCCTGCACCATTCAAGTTAGTGGGAACAGTTTCCAAACATATTGCAGGTTTACTGGCAGGAAAAATGATAAAAAGATTTCTGTAATTCCTGACTGCATAATTACTTTCTGAATTATATTATTTACATGAGGAGAGATAGCTTGGCCTAGAAAAGCTAAAAAAGACTGACTCTCAAGAATTAGTCACTGAATTCAGTGAATTTTTAAAATACTGTAAAGGGATAAAGCATTTTTTATATAAACAGAATAGCTGTTGACATTAGACCATTTAGACTTTTATTACATTGTCACACTACGCTTTTGTGAGAATTTAAGGTTTTTTTTAATAAAACACTTTTATTTTGTGGAACCCTCCCCCCCCCCACTAATTGCAATGATTTAAGACAAAAATGAAGGTAAGTACACTATGAAGCCTGTGAATTCTGTCATAACAATACATTTTATATTTGGCTTCAACTATGAATAAAAACCTTTTTATTTTTCTCAAAATTAAATAAAAAACCTGGCAACATAGCTTAAAAAGTCCATCTTCTTAAAATGCCAGCTGAGAAGAAGAAATAGCTATTGTTTTTAACGCAATTGGGAAATAAATTAATGTGTATTAAGCAGTCACATCACATTAAATCAGAACAAAACAAAACAATCCTAGAGTTTGACTTGAAATATTTTACTCCCAAGACCTTGAGAACTAGCTCTTGCTGATCAGACTGATTAAGCAAAAAATAAATATCTTCTTAAGTATGCCACATGATTTGACTAATTGTTAAATAAGCAGAGTACGGTTATACTGCAGAGATGTACAGCCATAAGTCAATATTCCATTCATCAGACTAATCAGGAAAGTGATGTATCAACAGAACAAGCTTTTGTAAAACCAGATTAACTGAAAGATAAGGAAAGAAACCAGGTGTAAACATACCTGCCTTCTTTGTCATGCTTACAAATTGGTAAACTAGCTAAACCCAAAACCAAGGAACCAAGGCCTGAAATTCTTAGGCAACATGTTTAATTTAAAAAAAATCAAATAACATTTAAGAATCTTAAAAACAGATTCCTTAAAACATATATACAATAATACATCTGAATAAGTGAAACTTTTAAAGGAAAAACGAATCTAGCAATCATTAGAAAACTCTTACCACTCTGAGCTTTTTGCCATAAACTATAATTGCCATAATTTGTTCTTGAAATTCTACTGGTAGTTAAATATTTGAAAGCTTTTCAGCTTAGTATCAGAGACACACATAAACTGAAGTGACATGTTTACCTTGCTTAATGACCGAATGTAACCACAAGATTATAATTTATCATCTTCTGTTGCTTACATATGGTCACTTGATAGTGATCTAAACTGTGAAAACTTTAAGTTGGGTAAAACAGAGGTTTGGTTTGTTTATGTAGATTTGATCTATTAAGAGTTTATATGTTTACATATGCATATGGCAACCTCTGCTCTCTTTCTGTGTATACTACATACAGTTGCTGTATTTAACTCTGAAACTTTATTCCTGTTATCTCTTGTAGCTCTGTTATGTATTGATTTTTTTAATTTAAATTGTCTTAAGTATTTATATTCAGGAAGGTTAGTGGATTGTGTGACTGAAGATGTAAGTTATAAAGACAGCGTGCATTATGAGCAGCTGTAATGTGAATTTCTTTGTTCTCTATTAATAATGACCAAAGCCCTGAAGTCGAGATGAATTCTTTAGTCATCCAGGCTTTTGTCACCTCTCTTGAGGGTTTCTCCAAAGCAGAAATTACCTGTTGTAATAGTATCTGTGTGGTTTCTGTAGAATGGCATGTTTACCAGTAGGCAGTGAGATGAGATTACTAAATTAATTTCGGTTAGGTTTGATTGCAACCCAGGAGATGAAACATTCAGTTGTTTACCCATAACACTCAGCTGATGCAGTTTAGCAGTACTTAGTCCTATAATGTAAGCTTTGGTACAATGAAAGAACAATCTTTTAGCTCATGATACCATCTACATGTTTTGTTAATCTATAAAGTGCTACCAGATCATTTGTTGTTATTTAAGTTTATAACTAATCAAGTAAGTCCAGTCATTCAAATTTAATGTAATATGACTTTGTAGTATAGCCTTTTTTTTTTTTTTTTTTTAGCAATTTTGGTAAAGGAGTGAACGTAAAAAGTAAGAGCAAATGAGAAACAGTGTTGACAGTTTAGGGCCCAGTCCTGAATGATACTGTGTGCCTAACTTTTATTGATGCCCGTGGGTATTGGAGCACTGATTGCTTACTACAGTGGCCCTCGAGAGCAATCATTTCCTGTATAATGTAGAATGAAAGATGCTGGCATTCAGAGATTTAGGTCTGAATTACATTATGCTGTTGCTGGATCAGGTTTTTTAAAAAAAAAAAAAACTCTTGGAAGGCATATGATTTTAAAAAAAATACTCAAGTTGATAAATTCGAGGGGGGAACATCAGGATGCTATAGTATGTGTAAGGGACATAGATTTCACTAATTTTTCATTTTTTACACTTCTGTTGCCCAATTACTTAGCTTGGCTGAGATCTTTTTGAAGCTCTTCACAATCTGCTTTGGTTTTAACTATTTTGAGCAGTTTTGCAGATGATACCAAACTGCTCAAGATAGTTAAGACCAAAGCAGACTGAGGAGCTTAAAAAAAGATCTCACCAAACTAAGTGATTAGACAACAAAATGGCAAATGAAATTAAATAATGCATATTGGAAAAAATAATCCTAACTATACATACAATATGAAATTTTACTACAACTACTCCAGAGAGATCTTGGAGTCATTGTGGCTAATTCTCTGAAAACATCCACTCAGTGTGCAGCAGCAGTCAAAAAAGCAAATAGAATGTTAGGAATTATTAAAAAAGGTATAGAGAATAAGACAGAGAATATCTTATTGCCTCTATATAAAACAATGGCATGCCCACATCTTAAATACTGCATACAGATGTGGTCGCCTCATCTTAAAAAAAAAAAAGATATATTGGCATTGAAAAGGTTCAGGAAAGGGCAACAAAAATCATTAGGAGTTTGGAATGGGTTCCACGTGAAGAGAGATTTAAAAGACTTGGACTTTTCAGCTTAGAAAAGAGGACACTAAGGAGAGAGATGATA